AGGGCGAAACGTGGGTATGGTTGGGATTTTTCGGCAGCCTAATACTTTTCATTGGGGCATTGGCCAACGTAGTTAAAGTTTTCAAAATGCAACAAATGGACGGGCTAAGGCTAGAGAAACTCCGTGGTGGGGCCCAAGAGCGTCTCATTCGGCTACGAGAAGGGCATTTACCACTAATTGCAGAGGAAGATAGAATAATCAAAGGGAAGGAAGAAGAAATAAGGCGGGCGCCAGTGGTGGACGTTGTGAGGGAGGGCCGATCAGGTGAGGGAGGGTCTAGGGAAATACCGACGCCTTACAAAGACGTGCTTATTGGCTAGGCATGAATGCAAGTACTTAGCTACTGAAAACAAGAACGAAGAAAACAAAAAACGAAAAACATGCATGATTTCTCTATACATATATATCATATGTGGTATTTCATTGTATTTTGTCTTGGATGTTCTTGATTTGTTTTATTAAATTGGTTTGGATATTCATATGTTTGAGATGATGAATTGTGTGTATAGTTTCAAACTTACAAGTTAGATGTTGATAATTTTATTATGGCTAATGCTGGACCAATGTTGAAAGCGCTTACACTTGCTCGTGATTTTTTGGTTGTGTGTTGCCTTTATGATTACGATTTGCAAAATTTTCCATGCTAGTGAAAATCCAAAGTCGGATTTTAGATTTACGGCCTTCAAGTAGATGGCGGTGGTAAGGTAGTGATGGTAAAGGTGTTGGATTTTAGATTTACGTCCTTCTAAATGCGTAGGTAGTGGTGCTAAATCGTATTATCAACTTATCGTGTTGGACTTTGTTAAAGTTTGTTAAGACTCGAAATTAAGATATATTTTTATATAAAATTTCATGATTCGTTGATTCGACTTGTTGCTCGAACTCACTTCTATTCTTTCTTGTCGAGACCTAACCTATTAATTAAAAGTAATACAATATTATGATTTTCAAATATGAAACAAAAAAGTCCTTTCAAAAATTGTATAATAATAATAATAAAATTTAACTCAATTTTCTTAAAGATGATTAATCACAATCATTTAGGTTACAATAATTGTATAATAATAATAATAAAATTTAACTCAATTTTCTTAAAGATGATTAATCATCATCATTTAGGTGTCAAGTTAAGAACCCCTAATTTTCCCCCCAAAATTATAAAGGCCACATCCATAGCGCCATTTCATTTCAGTCAAGCAGATAAGGTTTCTCTCTCATCCCCTTCTCCTTCTCTTTCCCATTCACTGTGCAGAACTAATTTTGTGTCTTGACAAAGAGAAGGAAAAGAAAAGAGAGTTTACTTAACTTCGAGTCCGTCGCAGTTTTTCCAAATTGTAAACCCTAAAAGGTTACGAATAATTGATTCTTGAATCTCCTAGTTACTAACAATGGCTTTGGCCCTTCAGGCTTCTCTCGTTCCCAGACCCTCAATCACGCAGCTAAACCCTCTTTCTCTCACTCCAAAACCCCAGATTTTCAGATTCCACTCTCAAAGGTTTATTTGTCCAACTTCTCTAAAGTCCAGGTATTTCCGGCACAGCTTAGTTGCTTTTTGTACGTTGAGTTCAGAGAATGTAAATTCGGATACTGGCCTAGGTGATAGTAATGGCTTTAGAGGAAAAGCCGAGCAGGATGAGTTGAATGATGTAGTTGTATCATCGACCGAACGAGAAGTCAGTGGCGAAGCAAAAAACGAGGATGTGGAGAAGAAGAGGTTGCCGATTGTGGTGTTTTTGATGGGATTTTTCACGAGGTTGAAGAATTGGATCGAGCGTGTATTTTATTCGGATTTGTTCAGCTTGGGGAGGTTTTGGAGCCACGAGAAGCATTTGGAGCGGTTGATTGAGGAGGCAGATGCGAATCCCATGGATGCTGCTAAGCAAAGCCGTCTGTTGGCCGAGCTCAATAAGCACGAGTTAGTAACTTTTAGCTACTGGAACTGGCCTCTTTATTGGCTCGCACATAAATGATTCATGCTTTTGTTGTTTTGGATTGAGTTGTATTGACCTTTCGGTATATATGTTTTTTAGTCAGAATGAGACTTATTGATTAGGATAATGTGTGGAAGCAAGAAAGGTTTATCGTTTTTTCCTCTTGATTTGCTAGGAAAATAAATTTGTGTGGCGTTATTCCATATCAGAATTTTTTTTTTTATTTTTTTTATATATCTGATAATATTTGTGTGGCTTGTTTGGTGGGCTTATCTGCAACAGAATGTGGTGAGACATTTAATCTTGCGGTGTTTAAAATGGGTTTTAGGGGTGTTTAGATGTTTTCATGCCTTGTAAAAAGTTGAGAAATTGTTGGACTACAGAGCTCAATCCAACTGTAAATGTCTGTTGATTTTAAAGAATGTTGTGCCTCAAACTGGAAAGAATGTACATTTATGAAGTTGAAGATTTTCTTTTTCTCTTCTATTATTTTTTAGCCCCGAGTCTGTCATCCAGCGATTTGAACAAAGAGCACATGCTGTAGACAGTAGCGGAGTAGCAGAGTACCTTCGTGCGCTGGTGGCCACTAATGTAATTGCTGAATATTTGCCTGACAAACAATCTGGAAAGCCTTCTAGTCTTCCTTCATTGGTATTTACCTTGATTCATTTTCTATTCCTTTCCATATAGCAGCAATTAAATTGTTGTTAATTTGTCCTGTGCCCATCTGTATTAGTTGTTACAGTCTGTGTTGGTGTTCACTTCAGTTATACTTTAGTCGAAGCTTTAGCTGCATATTATTGAAGCACCGAAAGCTTTGTTTCTTCCTCTTTTATGTCATATTAATTTATACTTGTTGTGGGCTAGTCTGGTGAATATCAGTGAGTTAAAACCTTTACCTATTGGACCTATTAATTCATAGACCATGATGGCCCATATTGACCTGAAATACATCTTTAGATCCTTATCTGAACCTAAATTTATCTCTTCTCTGGGATCTCATTCTAAATTTAAACGTTGTGCTTCAGCTTCAAGAGTTGCAACAACGTGCATCAGGGAAAATGGAAGAGCGTTTTGTGAACCCTGGTATATCCGAAAAACAGCCATTACATGTTGTGATGGTAAGAGAGAAAAATGCTCAAATAGCGCAAGAAAATTGAAAATATTCTTTCTCAAATCTTAGCACTTTTTTTTTGCTGCCTAACAGGTGGATCCTACTAAAATGGCAAGTAAATCGTCCCGCTTTGCACAAGAGGTCATATCAACTATTTTGTTCACTGTTGCTGTTGGTTTAGTATGGTACGACCCCTACTTTTAGTGATTCAATTCTAGTTGATGAATTCATAATTTTGCTTCAATCTGATTGTGGAGTTGCAATCACAAGGAGAAGCGATTGTCAGATTCTTTGTTTTTGTGTATGGGTGTGTGTGTGATTGTATGCATGCGGAGCGCACACATGTGAAGTATATATTTATTTTTCTAGAATCCATTTCTTGTGCATGCTCACAACATATAATATGTGGTAATTGACTTTTTTAATTTCTCAGGGTAATGGGTGCTGCTGCACTTCAAAAGTATGTTAGTAGCTTAGGTGGAATAGGGACTCCTGGAGTTGGTTCGAGTTCTTCGTACGCCCCAAACGAACTGAACAAAGAAATAATGCCCGAAAAGGTAATCTTTTGGTGTGGCTTGAGATTTTCATTTTTCATTTTAGCACGTTATATAATTCTAAGATGTTTATCCTGGATATCGATGTGCCTTGAGATTCTTTTTTGATGAATAAACGACTGTCGGAAATAATTACCCCAGATAAATTTGTAATATCTTTTTTGAATCATAGCGCTTTTTATTGTCTTGCACGATAGAGTTTTTCTTCTCTCTCTCTTTTTATAACTTAGCTGCATAAAAATCGACACTGCAGAATGTTAAGACATTTAAAGACGTCAAAGGATGTGATGATGCTAAACAAGAGCTCGAGGAGGTTGTAGAGTATCTCAAGAACCCTTCCAAATTCACGCGACTTGGAGGGAAATTACCAAAGGTCTGTTTGGTTTATTATTTTATGGTACAAGGGTGCCCCTTGTGAATGGTTTTCCCTCTTTGTGCTATTTTAATATGCATTTAAATTTTCAGGGAATCCTTCTTACAGGATCACCTGGGACAGGAAAAACTCTGCTTGCAAAGGTATATATGTTTTTCTGCTGTAACTAAATTGGGCTATTATAGAAGTTCATTGTCAAGTTAATAGAGATTAGAATCTTACTATATTATTGCTTCAATTTTGAAGGCTATTGCGGGAGAGGCTGGTGTGCCTTTCTTTTACAGGGCAGGATCCGAGTTTGAGGAAATGTAAGTTTTTTACTTTATTTATTTATTTTTTTTTTTTTCTTATTTTCGTTTAAAGCTATAACTTTACGTAAGGATGTTCATAATTTTTTCCCGTAGCATTGATTATTCATGTCCCTTTCTTTATGTCATTATTATTATCTTTTAGAGAGATTAGCAACGATCTTTATGACTATATTGGAAAATCATATATCTAAAATTATCAAGATTTTGATTAGAAAGTTCACTCATCTTTTCTATGTTAGGTTTGTAGGTGTGGTTGCTCGACGATTAAGATCCTTGTTTCAAGCAGCTAAAAAGAAGGTTAAACCCCTGTTTCCATCACACTTTATATGTTCGAGTGGTCATATTTGATTTATTCATAAAATCTTGTATTCCATTTAGTTTTTTTGTTATGATTATATACACGCATTGCTGCAGGCTCCATGCATCGTTTTCATTGATGAAATTGATGTCGTTGCATCCTACTCGGAAGCAGTGGGAAGGCCATACAAAGAAAACGCTGCATCAGTTGCGCGTCGAAATGGATGGTTTCTAGCAGAATGAGGTTAATAATGAACATGAATTTTTTGTAAAAAAAAGAGAAGAAAATGTAGCTTCTCATATTTTACTTTGAATTAAGTTCAACACTTACCTACAGGGAATTTTATTGTGATGACTGCAACAAACTTGCCCGATATACTCGATCCAGCTTTGACCAGACCCGATAGATTTGACCGACATGTAAGTTTTTATATACTTACTAGCAAAAACATCTCCGTTCGACAATTCTTGTTCATAAATATTTGAATTCGATAGTGACTTTCAATGCGAACTTAACATTATTAATTCAATAAAGAAGCTATTACTCAAAAAGACTCACCAACATTTTTCCTGTTTGAAAAAAAAAGCCTAACAAATAATTTTCTTGATTGTAGTTCCTAATCCCGATGTGTGGGGTCGTCAAGAGACAGGCATGCTCTCTCTCTCTCTCTCTCTCTCTCTCAACCATGATTTACCTCTTAGTATTATTGATGACTACCACAAATCTTAAACTTATAGTTGGCTTCGCATTTGTCTGCTGATTTATATCCAGCAGCTTACTACTAATTAATAGGGAAAAAAAAAAGAAGAAGTTTGTAGTTTTTAGAAAAATTTACATAATGCCAACTCGATGCCGTATTTTTCTTTATTATATTAATTGACAAAGACGATAAAATGCATAATGCATCAAGAACTGTACTATTTTGGTTCTCTCTAATTCATTTTATTGAACAGATCTGGCAAATTTGGTAAATATTGCCACTATTAAAGCCGCGGTTGAAGGTGCTGAGAAATTAACAGCAGCTCAGTTAGAATTCGCGAAAGATAGGATAATGATGGGAACTGAAAGGAAGACCATGTTTCTCTCCGAAGAATCAAAAAAGGTGACCACACGTATATAAATATTCTTTTATTTTCATACATAGATTTTTTTTTCAATTTATTTATTTATTTATTTCTGAAAAAAGCACACTGCTTATCACGAGAGTGGACACGCTATAGTCGCCTTGAACACCGAATGCGCGCACCCGATTCACAAGGCCACGATCATGCCACGTGGGTCCGCGCTCGGGATGGTGACTCAGCTTCCTTCTAATGACGAAACTTCGGTTAGCAAAAAACAATTATTGGCCCGATTAGATGTTTGCATGGGGGGGCGAGTAGCGGAGGAACTTATCTTCGGACAGGACCACGTTACGACTGGTGCAAGTAGTGATCTCAACACGGCTACCGAGCTAGCACAATATATGGTACAATATCCCGATAATTCAATAATTATATATTATAATGAAAAGGGTTATTATTACGAATATTGCTATTGGAGAGAATTTTTCTATTTATGAGTTTTTTGTAAATTTGGCGAATATTTCTCTTATAAGGTATCGAGTTGTGGGATGAGTGATGCGATTGGACCCGTTCATCTCAAAGAACGACCTAGTTCGGAAATGCAGTCTCGTGTTGATGCTGAAGTATGTTTCTTCTGATCCTTTTTCATGGACTTGAAACAGTTGTAAATAGTTGATAATGATAATATGTACTTTGTTTTGTTTGATTTTTTTCAGGTGGTTAAGCTATTGAGGGAAGCTTATAATCGAGTAAAAGCTCTATTGAAANTACACGCTCTAGCAAACGCGCTTTTTGAGTATGAAACTCTAAGTGCAGAAGAAATTAGACGCTTACTCCTTCCTTATAGCGAAGGACGATTATCGTTCGAACAAGAACAGCAGTCGATAGGGGATGAAGAGCTTGTTTTGGTTTAAGCCACAATAGAAAGTCCTCATAAATACAAAAAATGAAGCTGTGTGTACAGTATGTAATGAATTAGATTGATAATCATTCATTATTTTTGGTATTTTTAATTTTTAGGCACAATCTCATTTGGTTGTTGTAAAATATAGCTGCATTAGAATATTTAAGCAGGACTTGTGATTTTCATTCAAAATATACACAGCTGTTAAATGAAGCCTAAAATATTCCTATAAATTTTTATCCTTTACTAGTATTTGATCATGTGCACACGCACAGAAATTTAAATTATTATAACTTATAAATTACTTGTATGTGTATAATTGTAAAATTATAATTTAAATAATAGTATCATATTTTAAAAATTTTGTCGTTAGTAGAAATGAACATCATAAAAGTATCCAAATTCATCACTATATTTATTATATAAAATAAGATGGATAATTATTTTACATTAAATTCAACTAATATAGTTTACAATTTTGTATGAAAAAATTGAATTTGAATGAGCTGGTGTAAAAATCTCTATTACAAAAGATGACTTTTGTTATATATATTTTGGTTATATATATAGCATATCAATACTTAATATTTCTTTTGCATGTGAATCGTCAATATACAAATTAAGAAAATAATTTTAACCATTCAAAATTTAACGGTTTAAACATTATCTTGTAACTATGCAACAATTACATTCTCTAAATATAGAGAAATAAAAAATGATAATCTCATGCAACCGTTACGAAATAAATTAAAAGAAAAAAAATATGTTGTAACGGTTTTTTGATGGATGCCATAAAATTTTTTATTAAATGAAGTCATATTATTATTAATTGAAGCTGAAAAAAATTAAATGAAGCTTGCCAATAATTATATATATATATATTATGGTGGCTTCAGGTTTTGTTTGGTAGACACTGAAAAGCTAATAAATAATATAGGATTACTGAACATTAAGTAATATCACAAAAAGTGGTATATTCGGCTAACAAAGTCGAGAGAAACAAAAATGAGAACTAATTTCTGAGGTCATGATTTCTATCATTGTCCGTGTTCTCATGATTGCTCTTTGAGCTTAATGGAAGTTTAATCTTTTGGGCTTAAAAAATGAACTAATTTCGAAATACTATTTTGATCTAAACAGGTTTGTTTTGAAATAAAAAAAATAATTGTCCAATTTGGAACTGCCCATTCAGCTTTATTGGGTCAAGGAAGCACCGGCCCGTTATCCTTCCACTGTAGAAAGCGGGAGATTTTCGCTGCTCTGTGAGGCCAGCCTGACGCATTGCCCTCCGCTCTAAGGGCCGAGAGATCCAAGCCTTCGCCTGAACCACGCGGCCCAACTCCCCACTTGGAACGGGCGGGCCAGAGTTCGCCACCGAATGACCCAGCTAATTGGTCAAGCCCAATTGTCCAATCACCTTATTGCCCCCATTTGGGTTACAAGCCCACATTACTGAGCTCGGCGAACATTGCTTCTTGTCTGCCACTTATAAAATTGTATGAAGTTTTATAAAAATTAAATGTGGGATAAGTTCCTCTCTTTGCCTTTATCTAATTGTAAGGTGTTGCTAGAAAAAAAGGACTTTTCAGATATACCTGAAGTTGTTTATAGGCAGATCAGATTTATGAAATGACTGAGAAAGCACAAATCACGAATTAAGATGCAATTTTCTTACAGTTGGAAACAACACAAGATTGAAGATAATACCATTTGTTAAAGTAAGTGATCAACCAAAACCAAGAACGTAGAAAATTGTTCTGCCAATAACATTTTTGCTTTCACAACTCGTTTTAGAACGGCACGACTATGCGAAATGATTAATCGAGACTTTTCCGCTTACACAATTATTGAATGTCCGACTAAATTTAGCTCTTCTTTGAACTCATTTCGATTACTTGTTATCATCAGCTCGTAAACACGACGCATTGCATGTACTGGTTTTAATGTCAGCATAAAATGCAGCTTGGGAATCTGAAAACCAAAAAAGGAGTGGCGTTCGATTTAGTCTGATCTTGATCTTTGTTTACTGCCATAACTCAGATTTGTGAATCAAACTAAGTTAAGCTTTGCACAGAGTTTATATCTAATTCTGTAATTATTTTAACAAATACAGAGACCCAAAATGCAGCAGACATCTTTATATCCAACTTCATTCACCGAATTCGAAATTCATTTTAACCGTGTGATTCATGATCTCACGAAACAAAAAAACTCCGAACTCCCCAAGACGACTTCTTTAAACTACGATTACAAACCAAGAAACTAAGAAAAACAGAAAACGCGCCAAGTATGTGGAAAATCCGAACAAACGGGCTCCACCAGGTTTTGAAAAGCTTCATCCTTGGTAAAAAAATAAGAAATAGCTTCCACTCCACACGAAACCCCCCATGAACATCAGTTTTTAGACACGATCCACGAGTTGAGTCCTATCGTCAACTGCAAGCTTCTCATAAACACTTGTTAACGATTTGAGGTTGCACTTGATTAGCGACTCGACAATTAGCACGTCTCGTCTTTTGTGTTTCCTTCCGGAATATCAACCACGAAAGACTCGATTACCATTGTCCCGGGTCTCCCTTCAATCACCTCATGATGAAGAGATACAGTCGAAGAGTAGTTCTGCAATAAAATCAAAATGTAAAACATGTCGAGTTCAACAAAAATCTCGAGCTCCACAATGGAACGGAAAAATTCAGCAGCTTATAAAAAAAGAAACCACACGACAATTCACTAGCCAACAAAATCAAATTATTCACTCGGCCACAACTAACATAACACGAAACGAGTATGTCAACAATTCCAATCCGAAATCGAAATGCAAGATAAATGAAAAGAACGGGAAAGAGAAAAACTTCTCTCTCGGACGTACTCTGAGCCTGTGGTCCCCACCAACAATCCTGACACTTAACACGTGCTCGTCATCATCGAGAAGCTCCAATCTCTCAGTGCTGGTAGTAGCAGGAAGACCCGACTTCCCTTAGACTGACGATTTCAAGATTTCCCTGCACGTGACAACGGCTGACAAAAGGCTTGTATTTCTGAGGTTGATCGAAGCTCCTCACCAGAGACCAAACCTAGCAGGAAAAAGCAAACACAGCATTTGGATAAAAAAGATTTGAAACCCACAAAATCTGTGTCGAGATCCTCAGAAATACGACATGATTAAGTTAGCAATCTGCTACTGCAAAAAAAACATTAATTTACTGCATTTTTCTTTAAATGGTTTCAAGTACCAATATATCATCTAAAGCTCACATCCACCAGCAACGTTTTAGCCCTAGCCCAAAATTCAGAACATTTTCAAGCGCGTCCACGCGATTGAAAACAAGCAAGAGGATCGAAATGATTTTATCCAAATCGAACAGTGAAATAAAAACCAAAACCACAATCAAATCGACGGCAAAACAAAACTAGCAGAAATCCTGCAAATTTCAGGTCCAACTCCAAAATATCCTCATCAACAAAATCTGCTAATCATCGTCAAAATTCGTCCGCGAACAACCGATCGAAACTCAATGAAGCAAAGTAACACAACAATACCACAACTGGTTAGAAAAATTACGAGATGAACAGGAGCTTTAACGTGCTTGATGAGGAACGAACTGCATTGATTGTCCTTGGTCTCGTGCTCGTGATGCTTCATCATATACTCCTTCTCCAAACCTCTCAATCCCCTGAAATTCATCATCATCATCTTCTTTTTCTTCCTTCTTCTTCGTTTGGATAATGTTGCAGAAAATAACTGCCGCAAGTCGGGTCGGCTAGATCCGAACCACCATTTACGTGAGCTGGAAGTAGTGAAGGATTAATCTGCCCGCCGTGAATTTAAAATCTGGGCGTGATTGACAATTAAAATCGATTTTGACTTGTGTTGTGGTATAATATTTTTACAGTATTTAATTAAAAATCCTAATTAAATTTAAATGCAATACAACTCTACTCAATTTTATTGATATCCATTTTTTCCATTTAATTAGATAATATCAATCAATCATCTTTATACATCACATCAAATTTGATTTATTATTTATTCACTCATATGATTTTAACTATATGTCGTTTTCAAATTTTAATCATTGTATTTTAAATACTATTTAAATAAAACTCAAAATCTCGATCAATCAACCACTCTATCAACTTTATTTAAATTAAAATTAACTCACTATAACTCAAAATCCAATCAAAATCGGTTTGATTTATAAATAATCGTAGCTAAAGACTTCAACTATATTACTGTTACCAATTTGCCCCTATCATGCTTTTTTTTCCAAACGGAATATAGTTTTAAACTACGTTTGCAATGAGAGATTTATTAATGGATTTGAAATATATAGATTTTAGATTTATAAGTTTAAATCTTCATGCATGCTGGGATGATGATAGAAGTTGGAGGATTTCAAATTTGTAAGAAACAGGGGTAAACGAGTGCGGTCCCACGCAGATGAAGCGCACTATAACAAGGATAGCCCATATGAAGCCCAATTGAGGTTTCATCCAAAAACCAATTGGTGGAAGAAGGAATAACCCACTAGACTTATCAGTTATGTCTATTTTCCATGTACGACGTGGGACAACTCACAAGTCTTACGAATACGGAGCCGGGAGCCCAAGCCCAACTAAGCCAGGAAAACGGGTACGTCATCGCCAGGACCCACATAGGCCGACTCTGATACCATGTAAGAAACGGGGGTAAACGAGTGTGATCCCACGCAGATGAAGCGCACCATAACAGGGAAAGCCCAAATGAAGCCCAAGTGATGTTTCATCCCAAAATCAATTGGTGGAAGAAGGAGTAGTCCAATAGACTTATAAGTTAAGTCTATTTTCCATGTACGAGGTGAGACAACTCACAAGTGATATTCTAACATACGTTACATAGATTTTAGTCATCATTTTGAAAGATTTTAAATGACCACTCAAACCTAGTCATTTGAAATTCAGTGTTTATCTCATCGTTGACGACCACACCATCCACAAGTATGACTGTTCATTTAGATTCATCACCACCATGAGTTAACACCATTGGTGCGAGCTTGACAATGAATTTATAATCCTATCCACAAACCCATTCAAGGATTTTAAAGTATAAAATTTTTAAAAAATCGAAATCAATGGATTTCAAATTCCTCAAAACAAACGTAACCTTAATTTAAACTCAAAGTACAACTGGTAACCAACTGTTACAAGGAACATCATAACTGTCAAGTGGCAGAAATAAACGAACAACGGGGGAGTTTGTTTAGCATAAGAGCTCCACCTCAATAGGGATCAACCCTAACACAAACTCCCAAACAAGCGGACAAAACTGCATAAAGAAGACTAAAATAATCCACCAATGGAGACTATCAACCAAACAAACAACAAAATAAAAAAGAAACAACAAACTAGCAACAACCTAATTAACAATAAACTAAACTAATGCCCCCAACAACCCACAAGCTGACCCACTACACCAAGAAGCATCAGCCTTCAGAACAACCAAGAGAAGAAAAAACGGATCGCCAAGACAAGAAACTCTAATCTGCGCACTCCAAATTCCACATTCCAAATGGCTATGACTATGGCTATGCTACTCATCTGAAGCTAAAAGGTCGAATCCACTCTTCAAACTCAACAACCAAGCAGCTGGCGGTAGCCGAACAAGAGGTCAGCCAACACCATCCCCTTACCTGTCGCACCCCACCATTGACAGCGAGGAAAAAGAAAGGATCCAACTCGGCCGTAGTCGATTCTAGATGGGTCAATCGAAAATTACAGGCACGAAATGGGCGACGACTCCAATTCCTATTCCGACAACTCCCCGACCGTAGCGGTGGACCGAAATGGTGGCAACCCACTCCCTCATCCTCACCGGTGAGAAACTTACCCATAATACAAAGGTGTAGCTGACAGTACCAAAGTGGTCTCGCTGCGAAAAGAGTGGAGGGTGCTCCGACGCCGTCACCCTTTCGGCAGAGCCGGGCAAGAAGAAGCAGGGAGGTGATCGTTCACCTACCGACACTTGAAAAGATATTTGTTGTAACTTTATATCTAGAGTACACTTGACACCTAAACAATAGACATAAAAAATAAATATAAGTTTAAAGATCTTTATGAGTGCATGGACAAAGTAAGAACCATAAAATTTAAAGGCAATCAACTTATTTGTCATAGAATCATGTTTCTAATTGTAGGCTTACTATGTGTAGTCATTTTCGCTTTATTTCATAGCAATTTATAGTCAATAATGACCCCAAAAGAAAATTAGGAGAACCAATAAGCATTATGCGCGTCAAAAGTCATCCATGATGAATTCAATTACTTTGTACAAGTGGTCTATTAGAATTAACAGTTGTTAAAAGGGAATGAGTCGTTTGTGAGTTCGACTTGATTCGTTAAGGCTCGAATTTGGATCAAACAAGTGGTGGCCAAGAAGGAGACTTTCCGGTATTTAGGATCGATGCTACAAAAGGATGGCGGCATTGATGCTGATGTTAGACATAGAATTGCAGACGGTTGGTTGAAATGGCGTCAAGCGTCGGACGTTCTCTGTGATAAGAGGGTGCCACAAAGGCTAAAAGGTAAGTTCTATAGGACGGCGATTCGCCCGGCGATGCTATACGGTGCTGAATGTTGGCCTACAAAAAGGCAACATGTCCAACAACTAAGTGTAGCAGAGATGCGTATGTTGCGTTGGTTCTGCGGGCACACAAGAAGGGATAGAATCCGGAATGAGGATATTCGAGATAGGGTCGGGGAGGCTCCAATTGAGGAGAAATTGGTCCAACATCGGCTGAGGTGGTTCGGACATGTCCAACGGAGGCCTTCTGATGCACCGGTGCGTAGGGGAGTTCTTCAGCGGGTCGAGGATGTAAAGAGAGGTAGAGGTCGGCCTAAACTCACTTGGGAAGAGTCGGTTAAGAGAGATCTTAAAGATTGTAATATCTCCAAGGATTTAGCGGTGGATAGGAGCGCTTGGAGGGTAGCAATTCACGTGCCAGAACTGTGACTTTTGCTCTTTTTTCTTTTTGTTGCAACCTCTTCCTTTTGTTTCGAGTCCTTTTTGTGTTTCTCTTACCATTGTTTCTCTTGGGTTTCATCTCTAGCCTACCCCGACTTGCTTGGGACTAAAGGCTATGTTGTTGTTGTTGTTGTTGTTGTTAATGAGTCGGACTTGACTCGATAAGGCTTGTTAAGGTTCGAAAAGAGAATTTATATGTAACTTTCTGATAGGTCGAAAAATGTACTTATTTTATTTGTTTAATAGTATATTTTTATATACTTAATTTATATGCACGTTTATATTTTTTGACTTATTTATTATTTGGATGGATCCATACACATTGATATTTTTATATTTATTTTTAGCTCATTGAAGTATTTTGTGTACGAAGCATTGGATGGAAGTTCACGCTACCAATTATCGGGCACTCAATACAATACTAATCTAAGTCCAAAATACATAAAATTGACGTGTGTCGGATGACAAAAAGTCCAATTGTGATTCATAATGTTGGAAATTGGAAGTGGAACACGTGAATGAAAAGAATGTGGGGCAATTAATTTGAATTGATTTTTATTCTGCGGGCCCCACGATTGAGAGTAGTTTGATTTACTAAAGGACTTTAGTCTTTAGGATGGGATTGGCGAGAGCAGAGTAGCAGACACGAGAGACAGAAAAGAAAAAAGGCGCAGACATAGAGCAGTAGAGATACGAACGCACGTACTGAAGGAGAGAAGGCTACACACGCGGAGGGAAGTCGCACTCGTACACGAGGGAGATCTTTATTCTCTCTTGTATCTTTAATTTATTTCATTATTAGTATGTTAGGCTAGATTTTCTATCCAGTTTTAGGGAATGTTTGAACCCTAATTTCGATTTGTCTATGAATTGGATTTTTATTTATCGTTAGTTGAGACGCCGTATTTATTTTGTTGATGAGTTGATTCATGTTATCTATGTATCGTGTTTATGAATTATGGTGTTTGATTTGGTTTGGCCAGCTAGGTTGAATATCCATGATTTAATTGCTAGATTCGAGACTTTAATCTGTAATTGTTATTGTCTCGTTTCGTTAGTAGTAAACTAGGGGTCGTGCATCTCTAGGGTAGCATGAGCATAAGTTAAATGGTCCGAGCTTTTGCGTCCATTGCTTAGACGGATCTATTTTCCTAGGAATTAATAACTGATCTATTTTCCTAGGAATTAATGCTGCTAGTGTATTAAATTTAGAGAGCTTATTCTAGGTTGTTCGCTAGTTAGGTTTAGTCGAAGAGCTTATTTCGATTAAATATTAGGTAAGAAAAAATTCGGTTAACAGTGTTTGTTGTTAGCTAGGGTCGGTAATTCATTAGCAATTTAAAGAAAGCATCGAAATTAATTAACGGTAGATTTAGATTGGGTGATAACTGAACCGAAAACTGGATTTCTTTGATTTGATTTGATTTTATTTTATTTTATTATTTTTATTTTTAGCTTTATAAAATAATCCTCCATTTTACTACTTTCTTAGTTTAAATTCGATTAATACGAGAATAGTCACAGTTTAATTCTTGCTCCTCGTGAGATCGACCCTTACTCACTGCTACTACAAGTTAGTAGAGGTTAGTTAAGGAAAACTCTTATAAATTTTAATTTGCCGCTTCGCGACGCGCGGTCACTTTCTATAGTTCGCCTTGATAAAGCTCGATATCGACTTGTTAATACTGATAAACGATTCAAATTTGAGCTCGATTTATAGCTTGTTTACTTAACGAGCCAAATCAGCTCAACTCGTTAAGAGCTCGAGCTCGATCTGTCTGGCTCGGCTCATTTACATACCTTCAGAATTTAGAAAGAAAATGGCATGAAAAGGTTAAAAAATGACATAACCAAATCCAAAAAGAAAATGACATGAAAAAAGTTCGAAAAGGACATAACGAAATCCAAGTGATCACCACCGATTAAATAAATTGCGTCGTGGGTTCTACTTGTTTATTGTGTTTTTGTGTTTCTTTTTATGTGGTTCTTGTGCATAGTTGAGTCGGTTTTAGGATTGTTTTAGCGTTGACCGGTCCCTTTTGTCGTTTTCCGTGTATTTTTGTGTCTTTCTTTTCATTTTATATTTTGGCGTGTTTTTCCATATTTCTTGGTGTATTTTCAGGTTTATTTCCGAGGATGATGAGAAGAGTCGAACCGAGTTCTGAGAGTCGAGATTTTCCAAGTATTCCGAGTCAATTTCGAGAAGTTTCGAACCATTGAGCTAGTCCATTCCGAGCATTTTTAGCCGTGTCGATCCCAAGTTACAAATCAGCCCACACTCGCGACCTCGCCCACGGTCCGCGCCCCGTGAAGGATTCTTGCCCAGCACCGCTGCACTCGCGACTACGCGAGCCACCCCGCGAGGTCGAGAGCACCATTTTCCGCGTCCGCGCGTGCGAGCTGCGCCGCCAGGTCGAGAGTACACGCCTTTCTGCCGTCCGCGACCCGTGAGTTTCTCCGCCAGCTCGAGAGTAGTGAATTTCCTCGCGCCGAGCCCGTGCGGATTTCATAACGAGCTCGAGAGTGTGTGTCATTTAATGTGCATGTTTCTGCTGTGTGTTTTGATCTAGACTATAAATACATTTTGGATCTTTGTAATTTAAAAACAAGATTTCATTTGCAACTTTTACTCTTTTTGGTAATGTTTTTGTTTTTAGAATTCTCTCTAGATTCTCTCTAGCTTAGTATTTTCCGGTGAACTTTTTCCGGCGAGTCTCGTTTTTATACAAGTTTATATCTTTTTACTCCGATCTCGACTAAGCATGCACTAGGAATGTGAGTACTTACTTTTAAGACTTATACTTTCGCATTGTGCACCTATTTGCTATCTAGCTAGTAGAAGTGAGTAGGGCTTTCTCGTTTATGGGATTATGTTTGCTCGTCTAGTTATTTTCCGTGGTTTCGTTGTTTTTGAGCTTGTCTATTGTGCTTGAGCTTGTTGAAGTGTGAATTTCTACTTGAAACATCGTGACTTTGATATTGTTCTCGGTTATTTCGTCATAGAATATTCGGCTTTAGCTATTAAGTGTAGTAGATGGAGTTTGTTTATCTTGTTTTCGCTCTTTTTACTTGATTTTTAGTTCTCCAGTTTAGTAAGCTAGAGTTTCTAGTATAATTGCTCGTTTAATTGCTCGTTTGCTTATTTTCTTAGTTAATCTAGTTTATAATCAATCTCCAATCAATGAATAAGATGTTTAGGATTTATTTTTCTCGTTTTGTGCTTTTGGACAATTGAATAGCAACTGAAGCTCCGAATAGCCTTCCTTAGAAAACGACCCGAGTCGGGTAACTCGATTACCACATACCCACAAATCTCTACTAAACACTACTCATTTGTTCTTTACAACAATTAATCAAAGAAAAACACTACAAGTACATAATAAATGTACATAGAGGTGTACATAACACTTATATGGAGTGAGGCCCACTTGATTTTTTATTTTTGGTATGACCCACTTAATGTGAGTGATATATACACCTCTATGTCGAGTATTATGTACCTATAACAATTCTCTTAATCAAATATCAAACCGTAGGCTTTNTAAAACCATAATATTACATAAATAAAATTAAATCAATACAAAATTGGACACACAATCCTTTTGGGCTTAAAATGATGTTAGTACGTATAAACTACTCTAAACAAATGTTGTTACATGTACACTAGGTTTTCATTTAGTCGGTCTAATCATTAATTCAACATATCTTTGTTTGAATTAAATATATATTTTTATTAGAAAACTGTTTTACAAAACATTATAATTAAACAAAAATATGATATTTAATAATTAAACAAAAATATGATAATTAATAATGAGACAGTTCGACTCATTAATCTCTGGACTGTGTCACACAAGAATTTGAGAATGAAAAAAGAAAAACTAAGACGTTAAATACTTAAATGTACCAAAATTATTTAGTACTACAAAATTATATTAGTAGCTACACATGCAAATTGACACTTAACATAAGAAGGGAAACACACTTGAGGGGGCCAACTAAAACTAGCCTCTCCCAAGGTTTCATTAATCACCTATCCCTAAAAATCTAATTAATTAAAACCATAATTAAGCCCATAATATTAATATACTCTTAATCCTAATTAAACACAATTAGGGCAACTCCAAAGTCTCTCCCCACCTTGCCAAACGTATAAGGAAACTCAAAACCTCGGGTGGATCGCGCAAGGAGTATAAAGCTAAGGTCTCCTTTGGAGTGGACGATACGAGGATCGGATATCCATTGTCAGAGTTCGTAAGTACCTAAATAAATAATAAAAAAAAAATATTAACTTTGTCACATTCTTACATGTCGAAAATTATCCTATATCTATATATGGGTTCGTACGTACCTTGAATGCATCTTCATCGGTTTTGTCATCGCCTAAATAAAACGGGAGGACATTGGTGGAGTTGGAAAACCCTAGGGTTTCTAGAAGATATGTCAAGGCATCCCCTTTGTTCCATTTGATCGTAGGCCGGATTTCTAGAACCTTCTTCCCTCGAGTGATGTGAAAAAGAGAATAATACTCGGAAAGAAGATTGTGCACTATCTCCTCTAGGGTACCATAGTCCTGCAGTTGCGTACATTGACATTGTAACATGTACATAAATAAGAAAATGAAATGAATAAATTAATATGACTATAAAACTTTTTTAAGAATAAAAAATAAAATTACCTCGTCCAAAACGTGACGATAGTGCACTGAAATGCAGAACCTATTGTCCTCCACAAGAGCACCTGGTATGTCACATGTTCTTCTCTTAAGCTCTTTCAACATCTAATTATGAAAGACAAAAATTAAGATTATTAATTATAGAACATAAAAAAAAAAAAATGGAAACTTAATAAACGAGCCTTCATAAATTGAATTGTTCACAATTTTGTTACCTTTTTAATTACGGGCAGGTACTCCTTTGCAGGTTGGAAAATTGTGCTCTCGTTGCCCTACAAAGTCATGATCATTTTATTCTCAATGTATGAGGTATATATATTGCTTTTATTTGTACATTGATAGTCCTATACCAGTGTATTATACCGATACTTGAAAATATTAATATTTGTAATAATAATAAAAGTAAAATAATGACAATAAACTAATAATTAACCTTCTCATCTTGGGTGCTTATTTGATACTCTCCATAAGACTTCACATTTAAAGGAGGCCCTTTTATATCCATCCCATGGCTCCCAGCATAGAAAACCTCATCCAACTTAACAAATTCATAAACCTAATTCCCCACAAAAGAAAAAAGAATATCAATAAAAGAAAAGTAAATTTGATTATTCGTCGTCTCTAATATTCGAGCATAAATTATATTAAATTATTACCTTGTCTCGACTCCTACCGCTGATTATAGCGGTCGGGAAGTACCTTGCGACTTCACGTACAGCTGATCGCATCTAGTGATAAATTCTATAAATTTAATGGACATTTCTATATATATAGTATGTCATGCATAAATCATACAATATATTATCATCGAAAAAAATTGTTTAATTAATTAATATATATGATTTAATTTACCGGGTCGGACATAAATGCTCGATCAGGGTCATTTACGATTGGTGAAAGAGTCCCGTCGTAATCCAAAAACACGACTATTTGTTTCCCTTTTGCAGAATTCATCATCCCATTGAAAGAGGCTATGGCAGAAGGATGATCATTCTGAAAAGAAAAATAAAAAAATAAAAAAAAAATTATAGACATTTATTAAAACACATCTAAAAAATTTGCTTTTATATTTGATGCTAATGTAAGTAAGCTAATTGTTCATATAAGTTACTGATTTTATTTTTTCTTGAAATCATATGAATAATAATTCAAACTCATAAACAAAAATATAGCTAAGCTAAATTTGCAACTATACTCCCTTTTGGGGCTCCAATTTTATGAGGTGACATCTTTGTGTATGATGAGACTAACAAAAATGGAAAAGTGAATATTATGGCAATTCAAAGTGTCAAGTTTTTAAACGGGTGTTAAAATATATAGAATAAAAAATAAAAAAAATGCAAAAGAACAAAAAAAAAAACCTAAATTGACTTTATTTTGTGTGTGTGTGTTTTCCACTGTAATTTACTTTTTATTTGAACATTATTAGGAGTGGAAATCAATAGTGATTATGAAATCCCGCAGTATTTAAAAAAATGAGTTTTTATGAAATTTTCTGAATTTTTAGTATAATTGAATCAAACTCGAGTTCGTTTATCTCGTTAAAACTCAGTTAGGACTAAACAGCTATACTTACCAGCCAGGAAATATATCTCGTGTCTGCCAGATTAGGTCCATTGGGCTGCTCATCGGCAATAACACTGGAGTCATTTTCTGGGCAAGTGGGCTCTACTGTTCGGAGCCCATAGATCCATTTCTGAAGGCCCATTGCCATGTAAAGCTTCCTAATGTTTTCCTTCACCATGGCTTGATCTGCAACGTAAGATAGGTGCATAAACATATTCCACATTCCGAAAAACGTATAAGAGAAAACAAGAAAAGAAGNAAAAAAAAAAAAAAGAGGTATAAATTAAATATTACAAATAAACAGATTAGAGCCCATTAATTTTTGAGTTAGGGTCAACGATGGGCTTCAATCTATGTAAGTCAAGATATTTATAAAGCCCATAATTGAGGTTCTTGCATCAATAATTGTAGTTAAAGGCGTGCTAAAAGCCCAAAAACAAGTTTAGGAAAGTGGAAAAGGACAAAAAATAAAAAATTGAACAAAGTCGTTCTCAAGCCTCGGCATTTATGGGCTCTACCCCAACAAATGCCCACAGATTTATGGTTGTTTTTAATTTGATGTGTCCTAAATTGATTTTTGTTTAGAAAGTTTGATACATTGATTCATCAAGATGAACTGAAAAAGGGAAACGTTTTATTAAGAAAGCATGCTTCAAGCAAGGCATCTTACACATTTATCAATTCTATAATTGACAAAGCAAAAATAAAAAACTTGGAACAAATGGAAGAAAACAACCTACAAAAAGGAAAAGATTGAACTAGTTAATATAATAACCAAAAAATTAAACAATAAATCATAGAGTTTATTAGGCAGCCATGCGCCAATATATATATACTACCTCCTTTTTTTTTATAAATGTTATTTTGACTTTATCAACAATTGTCTAAATAAATGACGTTTTGGATCTTTTGTACATATTTTTTCATTATTACTTTTATCTAGCTAATAAATACACTACGTCTTTTCATATTCACTTTTTATATTTTCTCAAAACATCCATCTCTATCATCCTTAATGAGGGTTATTATTGATAAAAAGATGTTCTTAATTAGTGTGTAACTTCTCAAAACGACATTTATTAAAAAAATGAAGAAATATAAGATAAATAGTCCTTTTCAATGCGGGGAAAAACAAGTTATTAAACCCTTAAATTAAATGAAAGTGAATGCATATGCTATTAAATTATTGAAGTTGTTGTGAGCTTTCACGCAACAGTAATTATAAATAATTTTATTAAAAAAAGGAAAGAAACACGAGAGATCACTTGTTGGAACTTGGAACACACATGATTTTTATTTTATTTTATTTTATTAAAAAGCTAAGTGCATAAACCACATATTCTATGGTCAGATTCTGAGATGACTCAACATTACATGGCTTAATTGAAAAGGCGCCCCTCAAAAGACCCAGAAATTTCAGTTTGTTTGGAGGGTCTTAATCACTTATAATCAGATGATAACTTTTTTTTCATTTTTTTTTTTAACCTTAATCAAAACAGACAATATAGTATCTTAACATATTGTGACAGGTTGTATGAATGGCTCATACAAGTTCAATGTACGTGTTTAATGCTTAGAGTTTGGCAACCCAAACACAAACACAAACACAAACTAAAAACACATGTAATACAATAGTGATGTTTGGTGATTAGTGTTTTCANAGATTTGGTAGGTAGTGATTCAAACTAGTTTTTTACCAGCTATTAATTCTACCAGCTATCTGTTATCTATTATCAGTTAATTAAATATCACTAATTGAAAATTGAATCAGCTACGAATCTATATATATATAATTGCTAGCTAACTTCATTTAATAAAATATTTAATAAAAATATTTTCATTTTCCCTCCAAAAGAAGTTACATTTTTTTAATTAATTACTTATTAATTTCACATTTAAGAAGGTTTCTTTTAGTTAATGCATGATTATAACATCAAAACATATCTAAAACATCAATATTTTAATGCATTAAAAACATACTTTCAGCAACAGAAAAGTCATATTAAACGGAAATTGGCAAAGTCAAAGAATGAGAATTGACAAGGCATTGTATGTAATGGCAGATTGTTGCATAGTATAGAAATATCAACCATAATTAATAATCAACAAAAAAAAGTCAAATCTATATGAAAAAATCAAAATTAAAAACACAGCAAATTATGTGGAACATTATTGAACACTATACAATATAGAAAGAAAAATAATTTGATTTCTCTATCATTATCAACATATTCAACTTTTACCAAGACATCTGCCTTTATATTAAAATCGATTTTTTTTGCGTAAAAGTTTTAAAAATAAAAATTCCTACAGATTCTTTTAAACATTAAACAAGAAATTCCTAATATGCGATAAATATATCTAAACAGATTTGTTATAAACTTACCTAATATTTCCAAATTTTGAACAAAATACTAAAAATTTTGAAAAACTTCAGCAAAAGACTTTGAATAACTTCGAAAAGCGATTTTGAACAAGTGTTAGCAAAGTTTCACTTACTGATATGATGAGAAAGACGACAAAAAATTGAACTATTTAGTTTTCAAAATCTGAACAAAATACATAAAAGTTACATATGTATGTTATAAAAAGATATGAACATATATGTTATAAGTTTGAATAAGTTTGAACATATCTGTTAGAAACTTACATATTTTTTCAAACCCTGAACAAAATACATAAACGTTTGAAAAGGTTCGACCAATGTCATGTTCTCTTAAAAAATGATTTTGAAAAACATCTAAATAATTTTTAATTATGTATAAAATATAATATATCTTGAAGCTTATTCACAAAGAATTTCGGAAAACGACACAGATCATTGAAAATAATAAAAAATAAAAACTACGTTTAACAAAAAAATATTTCAGCTCATCATAGATTTGTAATATTATCGCCCGATTTTGACCGACATGTTAAGATTTAGCAACACAGATTAAGAAATCGGGACGAATATTATATTTTTCGATCACTACTGTTGGTCACAAAAACAACATTTCTCGGATGTCTTTTTTTTTTTTAATTTTTTAAGCCTTTACCGGGAGAAAATCTCCGGTAAAACAATTGTTTTGTATTGAATCTCGCCGAGTTTGTCGTAATATCGGGTTAAGGATTAGGGTTTCAGACAGAGTGAATAACGAGAGAAGCGCCGACATCAAACAAAAAAAAACTGCTTACATCACTCTCAAGGAGTTTATCTCTATTTATAGTCATGTTATCACTGACCTGTTTTATATTTGATTTTGGCTACCCTAAAAAATTAAGTGGACTTCTAATTTTGACTTTTTTTATCATTCAATCAATATATTTCTTTATGGCCCAAAAATTGTCATTTTGTTCAAATGTCTTAAATATTTGGCACATATCATTATTTATCAACCAAATACAATTATTTATTAATATTTTGCTGGTATTTTTTTAGTATTTTTTTTAAAAATTTTCTATATGATCTATAGTACAAAATACAATAATTATTTAAACAATTAAAACCATTATATGTCTTAATTTGAAGATATGATTTGTAGTGATGAAAATTCTGTTGATAGAAAAACCACAAACGTTGTATATAAAAAATTGTTTAACAATATTTAGTTATTATTTATTAAAACATTTTTCCAATAATTATATTATGATTTTTACTATTGTTTATATATTTTTATTATTTTTTGTTCTATTATATTATTTTCCGTGCAAATGCACGGGTTAAAAACTAATTATATGCTAAATGTCAAATACCGACTACATCAAATAAGAAAATAGATTATTCAAATTTACTATCATTAAAATATCAATTTATACTTAAAAATAAATGAACAAAAATATTTTACCATGTACCTTAGTTATGTGTGAAATGTGAATATGCAGAAATATGTGCACTTGCAAAAACAAAATTTACCAAGGGGCCCACATGCAATAATAAGAGTTAGAGTTCATTAACATCATACTGGCATCAAATGTCAACTTTCAATTGGAAATTGCTGTACAAAAAGATCTAAAGGTCCATGAAGATATTTCCAAGATTCCACTAATTGGAGAAAAATGAAGCCAGAGCCGAATAATTTGATTAGGAATATACTACTATAATTTTTGGAAAAAGCCTAGACTTATGGAAATTTAATTCTATTTTATTTCCTTAATAATCTATTTAGATTCAGTTAGAGATTAGCCTCTAATTATAATAAATTGTACACGCGCACCTACTTCATCAGACTCATTAAAAACCTTTCTCGACGAAAATAGTTTTAAATTGCTACATGTTTGACAAATTTGAATTTTTAATTAAAAATTTGAAAAAAAAAATACTAATTAAAAATAACTACGCCTGAAACGTACAACGATTGGTGTCAACAGGGGAATGCGACGTACAGCCACGATTTAAGGAAATCTCGACAAAACTATTTATTTATTTATTTATTTAAAATGTGTGAATAAATTGAGAGTCGCCTTGGGATTGCAAAAGAAACTTCCAGGAACTTGCATTATTACATTGCAATAATATAATAAAAATTGGCCTAAGTATTCAAAATCCTACCATAAAAATATAATCTTTGACATTTAAACGAGCCGAGTCAAGCTCAAACTCTTAATAGTGAAACACAAACTAAAGCACGTGTTAAGTCGAATCAAACTCGAGTTCGTTCAACCAATGACTCGGTTTATGAAAAAAGTACATAAAATTAAGTAAAATCGTTTTGTTTCAAGCCCAACAAGCCGAGCCAGACTAAATGAGCCTCAAACGAGATCTAGCCTAAACAACTGAATTAAGCTAAACGAGCCTTCAATGAACTAAAGTTTTGACAAGTCGAGCCTAGTTGAGCTCGTAAGAGGGTTCATTATGGTAAGCTCTAGTTGTCCCACATAAAGTAGAAATAATTTAATTAGATTACTTACTAGCTATAATGCTCTAATTGAAAAGGCATAACGATTACTAATCTAGAGATTGTATAGACTATAGAGAAATGTTTTAATTTTCTAATTTAATTAGTGAACAATCAACCCATCTAACTCCTCAAATATAATGGGCTGGGCTTATCACCATGACCGGAAAAAGGTCAGGGAACCTGATGGGTCTTTGACTTAACGTGGGCCTAAACGACCCAGTCGGCAAAGATGGGCCCACAGCCAACACGTGTGTGGTGAATACATCCACCACCTCATAACGACCATATTACAACAAACAACCTAAATAACCGAAAAAAGCACCACCATACCACGCACCCCAACTCATCCTCAACGCGCGTGCTTCCTTTCCCTCCCCTGAGATAGAGTCAGTGGCCAACACGCGCGTGGATAAAGAGTGAGCCAATAAATATTCCTTTTAAGTAAAGAAGCGTACGACCGCTAGCCGCTCATATGTTTTTCGCTCACAACAAATATATATAGAAAACAAACAAAGACCAAGACAAAAGGTAATAACTTGGAGTCTTGGACCAAAATATATTTATTCTTTTTAAATATAATAATTTATATTCAAGATTTTGTTTCCCAGAAATTTAGATTGATCTATGAAAAATTTATGTTAAATGTGTTTATATACGAAATATATATTTATTAATAAAAACAAAAAATTAGCAAAAGAAACAAAAGAAAATGTGCATTTGCAATTTACAAAGAGATCATCAGATCAACACAAATATTTATGAGTGCATGCAAAAAAAGCAAGAAAACACGCACACATACACAAACATATGCAAGTTTTTGTTACATGAATTAATTAGTGAGGATTAGTGAAATTAAAGAAGACTTACAGAGTACTTATATTCCTGAGCCAATTAGCAGAGGTTTTGGGTGAAGCAATACACTGTAGAGAGAGAAAGGGGAGAGAGATGTGTGAGTAACGGAGACTTTCGGGGTCGGAGAGCAAATATATATATATAATTATGAGCGTGGAAAAGGAAGAGGGT